AGTTATCATAAAGTATATATAATGCTTAACGTCTGAAAGCCGATAAGAACAAAAAAAAATCCAGCCAACCTTTGAGCAACCTGCTTCCAGTTCAATCTGTACCACGGAAGTTCCCAATGCATGCGTGGTCCTAAACAGAGTTCTAAACCATCCAACTTCTTTTCAACCTCGCTTATAATAAGGTTCAACTGATCATTCATCCGCTGCTTCACTTTCTTCCTGAACTGGCGAAGCCGTTCTATAGAATCCTCTTCCATTCTCATTCTCTTCTCATAGTCGGCAGCACTTTGTTCACTCGCAGATTCAAAACGAGAAGAGCAGCTATTAGCAGATGCTAAATCTTCCACCTTCTGTGTCTTGACTTTGTCTTCCTTTGAGCACTTCTGAATATTTTTCACAACAAACTGATCATTCAGCCGGGACACATTCTTCACTTTTTTCCCGTGATTTTTTTCACATTTTAATGAAGACCTCCTTTTCCTTAAAAGCCTCTTCTCCTCCTTATAATCTACTCCGTAGGCCTGCTGTTCAAAAAAACTTCTCGAACATGGACGAACTATTTCAATGTTTGCATCAAACGAGCAATCACCATCTTCTAATAACTCCAACTCCAAAATTCTCTCCCTCAGAGAACTTTCCGATGATGGGGCCTTTTTAATAAAACTCTCAAGCAGTTCTTCTTTTTGTTCAATCTTTTTCTTTGTTTCTTCCTCACTCCCATCTATCCTCGATTGACAGAAATAGGAAGTTTCGTCCTCACAAAAATCTTGCTGCCCACTATCAGGCGGAGAAATGCCTAATGAAACTCCACTGCCTTCACTGAAACCTTCTGCTTTTTCTTCCGACCAAATTTTTCCCTCTTTCTCTTCCACAGGAAAATCACTGCCGTAAGAGCTTATTTCGCAATGTTCCGAATGTCTATTGTCGACAACACTCTTCTGCTGTTTGCCAGTTTCTTTTGAATGCGCTTCCCACGTCTCTTCTTCGACACTTCCATCTATCGGAGGGCTGATCTGAGTATTACTTGTAGTTTTGTTCTTGTCAAACTCGTCTACTACCTTAGACTTTATCACATCTGCAAACTGTTTCCGCTGATCTGGTGCGAGATGCGACATTAGTTGTTCTACTAATTCATTCATGGTGACAGAAGGAGTGATAGCGATTTTTGGAACTGATTCTTCATGCCCTGTTTCTTCATTCTCCGACCTGGTAGCATCAACAATCTGAGGCGCTTCATCAGAATTTGAACAACATGGCTCTTCCATCTGATGGTACGGTACTAGGCGGGGCATATCGGAAAAATCATCGAAACTTGTGGAATCATTAATGTCTGCCGACGCCTAAAAAAAATTCACAAGGAGAATAAATAGAACAGTATGAAGGTTTTAAGACCATGATTTACGGACCACTGCAACGAATCCTGCCGGAGAAGGCATAGGCGTGACAAACGGGCCAATAGATCTTGGTGAATCACCGATACTTTGAATACCGCTATCAGGAGTTGCAGAACAATCATTCGGAATGTAATTATTTTGATACTTACAAGGTGCTACCGTGTGACCAGACGAAAGCTCAATCTAAATAACACGCTCAAAAAAGGAAAAAAATCATGGTACAATGCATTAATTCAATGCAAAATTTCATCCATAAATTAAATATAGCAAATGTGCAATTATGGTCGAGGACCCGTTAATCGGTTCGCGAGCTTTGCCAATAAATACTGTCAAAGAAATTAGGCTGCAAGCGAAAAAATTGACCTGCTGAATAACTAATAACAAAGAAAACGAACATTTACAGGATGTTGTGAACAGTGGCCATCTGAAATACCACTAGCACTGCAGCGGCCAGTTGGAGTACTCTGAATATAATCGCAATAACCACTACTTCGGATCTTCTGGTTAGCAGTCCTACGAGTAGAGCAATCCTAAATGAAAAATTAGATCTCAGAATGCATTCTTGTTTAATGTTAAATCTTGAGAAAGAATGGCAATTCACATATCACACACTCTAAGATTGTGAAACGATTAGCTGATTAGTTGAAAAATTCTGAAACCAAGATTATTTACGGACAAGGCCTCTGCTAATCAA